AATGATAGTCACGCTGCTGCACAAAGACTTCAGCTAGGTAGCTTAGCCTCCCCGATGATATCCCCTCGCGGGGTCCCAGATCATGGGTCGTTTAGAAGCATTTCCTATTTTCAGCCGCACGGAGCTCGACGGCTTTTTATTAGTCAGCCGGTTAGCACCGTCGATACACAAACACACACACGGAGTCCCAGATCACGGCCTTGTTAGTGGCGTGATACATATGGCTGTATACCAGCTGCACGGAGCCTGACGTTTTCTCGTTCCTTTCATGGCGTCTTTTCGTCGGTCAGCCGGAACCAATGGTCGATGCTACAACACACCCACGGCCCCGTCGTAACCGGAAGAAGACGTACAGTACCTCCGGAACGAACTTGGGGAGTTTGTCCTTCCACCCCTCGGGGAGCTCTCCCGACATGCGGCGCATCAGCTCCTTTGCCAGGTCGGGGTACTTACACTGGGGGGGGGNTGGGGGGGGGGGGGGGGGGGGGGGGCAAAGAAAGGGTGATGGTTGGCGAAGCCGACGTAGACCGACCTAAGATTGGCGCCATGTGTCGGGAAAAGTGCTAATTTACCCGAACACATGCTGCTGCTGTCCGGCGCACTCGAAGAAACATTTACGCGCAGTCTGTCAATACACCTCGGTAAAGGCCACAAAAGAAGAGACACTACTCTACACGAAACTCGGTCCCACCTCGCTCGCAGGCGGCGAAGAGAGAAGCCACTACTCTTCACGAAACCCAGTCCCACCTCGTAGGCGGCGAAGATATAATACGTTGCTCTATCGCCCCCGTAGTCTAGTTGGTATCCTTGAAAACCTTCTATTATAGTGGCCAGGGTCAGGGGTTCGAATCCCGGCGTAAGCGAGCCTTTCTTGCAAAGCGAGTTTGCTCTCGCCTCCGTTCCTGGCCTGTGAGGAAAGCGCTAGCTCGTTTGTACCCAGAGGGAAGATAGTGCTATACTCTTCTCGCATTACAAATCGAAGGCAAAGCACCGTAGGAGGGGTGGGTAGGAGCCCTCAGGGAGAGGAACCCTTCTGTATGACCACTGGTTGGAGAAAACGGCGCATATGCTGTGAGCACCGATTTGAAGTGAATACAAACAAAAAAAACGAATCCCAATCCCACCTCGTAGATGGCGAAGAGAATAAACTACCCGATACGAAAGCCAGCCCTACCCCGTCACCGGCAAAGAGAAAAGTCACTACTCTTTTACGAAACCTAATCCCACCTCAGAGACGGTCGAGACAAAAAATGCTACTCTATACGAAACCCAGTCCCACCTCGTAGGCGGCGAAGAGCACGTCGTACTCCTTCTCCTTCTTGGCGCACTCTTCCTGCAGCCCCGCGTAGAACTTGCTCACTTCCTCCGGAATGACGAAGCTCTCGGACGGATCAAAACCGAACCTAAATTTTCGATAAGGGGGGCGGGGTGGTGGGGCGGAGGCCGTGGTGGGGTTGGGGGCGTAGAAATCGTTGCTGGCAAACACTTGTCGCTTGGTGTAGAGGTTTGTCCGCGCATCCCTTGGGAGCGGAAGCAGGGCCGTGTGGGCTCCATGCTAAGAACAAACACCACCAAGACCAAAACGCTCGTTCTCCCTTCCTGTCAAAAAGCAAAGAGGACGGACACCCCGTGCCAATCCCCCTCCTTTCGGCTGCCACCAACATGTCTTGCAGACAAGCGATCGTTTCCTGTACGACCCGAATAACTCCAGAATCCGCCCCATGCCAGACCGCCGGTTCCGAAACCCATCTTGAACGAAACTCACGTGGTCTTGACGTGGGCGACATCATCCGCTCCCAGGGGGGCTCCGTGCGTCGTCTCCAGCCCCTGTTTCGCACCGACGGCGGTGCAATCACTCGGGAGTCAGCACAACGCCTTCGTTGTCGGACGAGGCACCGTTGTTTTCGGACGAGATCAAACTTGTTGACGATTTCCATCATGCACAATCTGCACCGACTACTGCTGTATGGTGCCAACCGTTGGGATGGGCGACAAAAGTATGCATCAAACATCGCCAAGTTTTACGTACAAAAACGACCTTGATGTTTTTATCGATTACGGAGGTTTCCATTTTGCAAACAGGTGTCCCAATACCTCTTCTTTGCCGAGGCGGCAGGGGCAACGAATACCTACCTGCTTCTTGCTGCCGTAGCCGATGATGGTCTTGGTCTTGATGATGGAGGGTCTCCCCGTCTCCTGCTTAGCGTTTTCCACGGCCTCCATGATGGCCGCCGTGTTGGTGCCGTCCGCGACCACCTGGGTGTGCCACCCGTACGCCTCGAACCTGCAGCAGAAGCAGCAACAGGGCATACAAGTCGCAGCGTCACCCACAGCACCAGCGCCAGCACCTATACTAGGCGCTCAACACAAGCAACCTTCGCCAACTACCGTAAGAGGCGGAGGGATGGCGCCCCACCTAGACAGGCTTTCACAGCTCGAATACTCCACAACCAAGATTGTCTGTACCGTACCGTATACCGTACCGTGGTATTCCGTAAGAGGCGGAGATGGCACCCCCCCTAGACAGGTTTTCACAGCTCGAATACTCCACAACCAAGATTGTCTGTACCGTACCGTATACCGTACCGTGGTATTCCGTAAGAGGCGGAGATGGCACCCCCCCTAGACAGGTTTTCACAGCTCGAATACTCCAAACAACGAAAAATGTGGCTTGGAAACATCTCGTTGAGGGCTTTCCATCGACGCATCGGGCTCTTTCCGCACCCCCTTGGTTGTGGAGCGATCGACATTGGAAATCGGTCTAGGGGTGATGCTATCTCTTCGCCTCTTACGGAATACGGGATGGTATACGGTACGGTACAGACAATCATGGTTGTGGAGCGATCGACATTGAAAATCGGTCTAGGGGTGATGCTTTCTCTTCGCCTCTTACAGAATACCACGGAACGGTATACGGTACGGTACAGACAATCATGGTTGTGGAGCGATCGACATTGAAAATCGGTCTAGGGGTGATGCTTTCTCTTCGCCTCTTACAGAATACCACGGAACGGTATACGGTACGGTACAGACAATCATGGTTGTGGAGCGATCGACATTGAAAATCGGTCTAGGGGTGATGCTTTCTCTTCGCCTCTTACAGAATACCACGGAACGGTATACGGTACGGTACAGACAATCATGGTTGTGGAGCGATCGACATTGAAAATCGGTCTAGGGGTGATGCTTTCTCTTCGCCTCTTACAGAATACCACGGAACGGTATACGGTACGGTACAGACAATCATGGTTGTGGAGCGATCGACATTGAAGATCGGTCTAGGGGTGATGCTATCTCTCAGCCTCTTACGGAATACCACGGAACGGAATACGGTACGGTACAGACAATCATGGTTGTGGAGCGATCGACGTTGAAAATCGATCTAGGGGTGATGCTATCTTTCAGCCTCTTACGGAATACCACGGAACGGTATACGGTACGGTACAGACAATCATGGTTGTGGAGCGATCGACGTTGAAGATCGGTCTAGGGGTGATGCTATCTCTCCGCCTCTTACGGAATACCACGGAACGGTACACGGTACGGTACAGACAATCATAGTTGTGGAGCGATCGACATTGAAAAACGGGCTAAGGGGATGCCATTTCTCCGCCTCTTACGGTACGCTAGGCGGACAACATCAGCAACGTTCACACAGCAAAAATGACAGCGACAGCATTTTCACTGCCACGACGATCTAGTTCGGAAGCGATGCTGTGGATAGCGGCGGAAAAAGAACGGAGCAACAGACCACCGTTGCGCTTTCTCAACACGCACCGGCAACGCTAACCTTTTCGTCCAACAAAAACACGTCCCCTCCCAACAGCGGTCTGCGTGCTGGCTCCATCACCAATGGTGCCATGATGTAGTTTCGAAGACGTATCGTCATGCTGTCTGTAGTTTCATGTACGATGAAGAGAATACGGCATATGCACATGTGTTGGACCAAAAGACCTGCTCTCACTCACCTCTTGACGACGTCTTCCGTGAAGGAAATCGCGGTGTCCCCGTCGATGGTGATCTGCAGCGCAGTGCCGCAGCAGCGCCCATGACAGCG